GGGGGGTAGGGGGGATGGGCATGGAGGAGGGCACTTTGGGGATGAGCACTGAGTGTTATGTGGAAACTAATTTGACAATAAACTATTTGTAAAAAAAAAAAAAAACAGAACAGTCATATATCTATTTGGTAACAACGAGGCTCCTTGTGAATGTCCTGTGAGGGTGAACTATCTGCCATCACACCTTGGGGTGATTGGTCAGATACTTTAACATTTTAGGGGTGCCTGGGTGGCTCAGTCAGTTAAACATCTGACTCTTGGTTTCAGCTCAGGTCAGGATCTCTCAGTTCGTGAGTTCAAGCCCTGCATCAGGTTCCATGCTGACAGCATAGAGCCTGCTTGGGATTCTCTCCCTCTCCTCCTCTCTCTGCCCCTCCCCTACTTGTGCTCTCTCTCAAAATAAATAAACTTAAAAAAAAAGAAATGATTTGTATCATTGGACAATGTACTTCCATTTGTGAGCCTCACTTGGGCTGGTAAAATGAAATGATGGTCCCTTCTCTTCTATCTTAGGGACATATTAAGCAGAAATGATATCACAGATGTGATTCTTCCTGAGCACTGTGTCAAGACTGAATTGGTGTTATTCAAAGTGGGATCTCCAGACCACTTGCACCCAAGGGAACTTATTAATATGCAGATTCCTGAGCCCTACCACAGATATACTAAATCAGAGTCACAGGGCCCAAGAATCTGCCACTTTATCAAAAGCTAGTATAAAGATTCACTTGGTGATTTTGATATATATTTAAAGTTTCAGAATCACCAGAGTCTATCAGCTGATTTCTATCTACCTCCTTAGCCTTGCCTCCTACGCCTCTAGACTTCAGCCTGGTTTCCTTCAGTTATTCCATCATTTGTTCATTTGCTTATTCAACTACTGTCTGCTATATACATGTATAGAAATAAGGAACTGAAGAACAAGATAACAAGATCCATTACAACATGGGAGCTTATATTCCAATGATAGTGCAAAAAGTATACAAGTAACAAACACAGCCAAGATCATTTCAGATAATAAGCATTATAAGGGATATAAAGAATGATATAATGGGGTGCCTGGGTGGCTCGGTTGAGGGTCTGACTTCGGGTCAGGTCATGATCTCGAGGTTGATGGGTTCAAGCCCTATGTCAGGCTCTGTGCTGACAGCTCAGAGCCTGGAGCCTCTTCAATAATTCTGTCTCCCTCTCTCTGCCCCTCCCCTGCTCACACACACATGTGCACACTCACACTCTCTCTCAAAAATAAACATTAAAAAAAAAAGAATGATATAATAATGAGTGGCTGATGAGAAATACTTTTTAAAAAAGGTATCTTAATGAACTTTCATGACTATCTGTGAAGAGTTAACAATAAGAAGATTCCCCTGGAATATTCTTTTTCCATTTTTTCAATTTTATGATATTTTGAATAATGCATATATACCAATGGTACTACATAAAAAGATATGCAATGAAAAGTGCCCCTCCCATCCCTACTCCCCAATAACTGCCAACTGGCAATCACTGTTAGTACTATGTTGCGTAACTTTCCAGAAATAGCCAATATGCAGACAGGACCATTCCTAATAGGTTGGAGGGTATAGGGCAACTGAACTAATGTGGAACGACCAAGATAATCACTTTAGAAGATTACACTGTTAGCATCTTTCGTAAGGTCCTTGGGATATCACTGAAGATGGAAATTTAAAAACTGAATTTAGGGGCACCTGGGTGGCTCAGTCAGTAAAGCGTCTGACTTCAGCTCAGGTCATGATCTCACAGCTTATGAGTTTGAGCCCCACATTAGACTCTGTGCTGACAGCTCAGAGCCTGGAGCCTGCTTACATTCTGTGTCTTCCTCTCTCTCTGCCCCTCCACTGCTCACACTCTGTCTCTCTCTCTCAACAATAAATAAACAATTTTAAAAATGTTCTTAAAAACTGAATTTAAAAAATTGAATTTTAATGCTGTTCAGAAAAGAGATAAGCACCTCACAGTCCCCAACAAAGCACCTTAGGTGGGAAAGAGCTGTTTTAACCATGGGACAGGCCTATTGTGGAAACACATATACATACATTTATGTTCACATATTCTTGTTTTTTCTATACAAATGATGGTATACAATACAACTATTCTGTATTGTGGTTTTTAAATTTCTTTAATGTTTATTGATCTTTAAGAGAGAGAGAGACAGAGTATGAGCAGGGGAGAGGCAGAAAGTGAGGGTAAGAAAGACACAGAATCTGAAGCAGGCTCCAAGCTCTGAGCTGTCAGCATAGAGCCTGACACAGGGCCGGAACTCATGACTTGAGCTTAAGTTGGACGCTTAACTGACTCAGTCACCCAGGTACTCCTGTATCATGGTTTTTTGTTGTTGATTTATTTATTTTAAGAGGAGAAGGAGAAGACAGAGAGGGAGAGAGAGAGAATCTCAAGCAGGCTCACTACTGTCAGCAAAGAGCCTGATGTAGGACTCAAAACCACAAACAATGAGATCATGACCTGAGTTGAAATCAGAGTTGGATGCTCAATGGATGAAGCCACCCAGGAAACTCCTGTATATAATGTTTTTTACTGAGTATAATAAACACCAAATAAACTATATGAATCTTAAGTATAGAGCTCAATTATCTTTCTTTTTTAAAAATTTAACAATATACCTTGATATCATTCTCCAATAAGACTTATAATGCTGTTTCATTTTGTCATCTGCATAAAGTTCCAGTTTGTATGTGCCATAGTTTATTTAACAAATAAATC